AAAGCCAACAGCAATATCTCTTTCCAGAAATTATGAACTGATTACTCAAGATAATCCACAGACCTGGTTATGAGCAGTTTTATGTACTATGGTACAGGGGTGCTCAACTGATGAGGATACCATTAATGTTTAAATCCTACGCTGTGATAAGCACAAGCACAAGCACACTTCCTTCTACGCAGTGATATGATACAGTTAGGTTGAAACAAGAGAGTTCTTACATGAAACTGCTCACAATAAGGTCTGTGGATTATCTTGAGAAACCCTAACCTTATTTTTTCACAAGCCGAGTGCCATCTGGTTCCATCACAATATATTGGAGAGAAGGCAGGCGTCTCTGTGGTCGATATCTCCAAAACACTGCCTCTCACACCAAAGCAATATAGATGGATAAATATCACAACAGGTAAGAGGGAAATATGTATTTTTGATTTGAGGATAAACTGTCCCTTTAAGTTAGACAATGCAAACAGCCCTGTCCTTACCTTCAAAAGCTGTTATGGCCTGTTAGCAGTTGCCAATTTACACATCTCGTAGCAACGTTAGCATTCATTTGGAGTTATGTTTCTGTCCAACTGTTGAATATAATTCCAATATTCACTCTTATTTTAGCTCTGATTTGGTTAGAGGTGAGAGGTGGCTCTTTTTCACCAGCCAGTCTTCATCAATGTGGAGCTTGGTACTGGACAAGTAGAGTACGGTGGGTTTAACAGACTTTGTTTGCTTAAAACAGCTTCCTGCTGCTGGAAACAAGGTTTATGGGGAGACAAAACCAAAATGAAATTAACTGTACAACTAAAAGCTGAAAGAGGCTAAAATGCTCCATTGGTAATGCAATACAAAAGGATTGATTCACAGAGCTTGAATTTCCAATATTGAACTGTAAAGTCTCATATTTAACGGGTAGTACTGTGTTTTCTCACCTTTCTCCTGCTAAGCACCCATTGGACACTTTACACCTCCATTCATGTGTAAGAAAGCTCATCCATTGAACCGCGAGGAGGAAAAGTGTAATTCAGTTCTAAAAGCATGTCCATTTAAGTGAACATGATTATAGGTCACATTGTTTTTGCATGAAGAACAAAAATGAACAGACAGCTGAAGTGAAGGATGTGTCCATCCCTACAGATTTTGATGGGCAGCATGAATCACTCTTATCTCTCTGTGTCGTTCTTCTATTGTTTCTTCAAGGTTAAATAAGTTCAGGTTATATTTATACTCCAGCGATAAAGGCTGAATCACAGCATCTGGATATAATGAACCACACAGGAAATGGTTACTTAATTGTGTACTGTATGTGTGAATTTGTAGCCCTAGGAGGAAGTCATGTGTCTTTTTCTGCTTTTGTATGAATATGTGTCTTTGTAAATATATTTGTTTATTTTTTTCTTTTTGTTATTGAGTGGTCCGACCCTGAAGATGAGCAAAATGGTTGTACCTGTGTGTGACAATACGGAGGAAAGTGGCACGTGGCTCTGTGTGTGTGAGCGAGTGACAGACGATAGCATCACCCTCCATATTTCCTGTGCCACTGTCTGGCGCCCACATGGATATATTGTGGTGATGATAAAGGGATATTAAAACTCATAGCTTCTTCTTCAGCTTGCTCCCTGACTGACTGTCTGTCTACACAGTCATCACATCATCCCTTCACAGGCAAATGCGCACACACAAGGACATTAGAATGGACACACACAGACATACATGTGCGCACTTAGCAGAACAAAGTGAGTTATTGATTGTAGAGGGTATAAAAGCAGCACAGAGGGATGATTCATGTTTTTATATCCTCTTTTCAGTCTGTTTCTTCAGGTCAAAGGGGCTTTATGTACTGTGAATAGACTATTCTTGTTTGCTCCTCATTTGTCCATTAACGTTATACCCAGTATAGTAAAAAAATTTAATCACTGGTCTGACTTGTGTTTGTTGTTTTATGGCACAATGTGCAACGTGAAGAACTGCAAGCCTGAAATATGGGCTGCAAATTTTTTTAAATCAACTATGCAATGTGCGAACTATACCATGTTTTTTTTCCTGCACTAGTTGCAAAGAAACTAGCTGTTTAACTAACTATAATGATTATTCTCACACAAGATCCATGATAAAATAGATACATAAAACGAGAAACACATGGTAAAAATAGCATATTGTAGTACAGAGAAGTACAGGATCAGATAGGCGACACTGCCCCACCTGGGTGTCTCCTTTGATGTGTGATTGACAGTCATTAGTTCAATTAATGATGACAGGAGGTGACCTCTCGTCTGCTGTGAGGTGTTGGACAGTGCAGTGACTATTACAGGTGAAACATGTACATCTGGAGGATTCAATCTGGTCATTAGGAGCTCATCTCAGTCAGACATACATTGCCGTAGCAACCTACGGCACGTGGTGGTTGTTGTGTCTGCTGCTGTTATTGATTTTATTTGCATCTAATTAAAACGTCCATACCATCTTGGCATCTAGACTTCAACAAGTAAAATTCTAAAAGTCGATGGTGATAAGGATCCCCTGAATGGTCAACAAATGATAGGGCACGAAGGGTTATGGGATACTGCAAAAGACACACATGGTTGTGCCCTCCAAATCTGGGCAAAGGCTGTATTTCTCAGCAGAGTCTGGAGGCGCCTTTGATTTGATTTCGGGTTTGAAAGTTTTTGATTCTTTGCAGTGAAGTTTCTGTGAATGCATGCTCATGCTGGTGTGTGGGTAATGAGGCTCTTTTTCCATACGCACTTTAAGTTATCCCTCAGCTCTAATGTCTCACTTTGCTGTTCCTCCCTCTCACTGCTTATTTCTTTATCGAGGTTTCCTACGTGGAGCTGAAAATTATAAAACAGTATGATACATAAAAATAATCATTTGCACGTGGGAAAGTGATGAGAAAATAATAAAAAGCAGCATCTGAAAATCCATCACTGTCTGAAAATGTGATCAACTGCGACGCCTGTGTATGAAACTTGTATAAAACAATATATTCTATATTACAAAACAGGCACTTTCATCCCAGCGGACTGATTTCACCCATAATGATAATTCCCATAAAGCACAGATGTGCTTTATCTGTTACCATGCCAACTGGTAACCAGGGAGCAATAAGCGACCTTTCTTGTTTTCTACTTTTTCTTTCTTTAGTGTGTGTGTGTGTGTGTGTGTGTGTGTGTGTGTGTGTGTGTGTGTGTGTGTGTGTGTGTGTGTACTGTATTTCTTTCAGTTACACAAGAGTGTGTGCTTCCCTCTACATAAAAGCTATTGTATCCTTGAGGATTTTCTTCTTGCTGTGGGGCACACGACGGTACTTGAGACCGTACTGAGAGGTTTAAAAATCATACCCATTTGGGATGTTATAAATAATGTTTTGAAAAACACATCATGAATACAGTTTCCAGTAAAAAAAAAAAGGCAAAGGTGTAGGTTTTGTTTTAAAGTGTAGGGTGGGGTGGATCTAATTTTGTAAACAATGTACATTTGCTTGCTGTAGACTGCCCTCAAGGATATTACGAAGGTATATATACACACACACACACACACACACACACACGTGTGTTATGTCCATAACTTTTTGCAACAGCAAATAAAGACATAGAAAGCCAGAGTCAAAATGTTGATAAGAGTATCTTAGCTTCCTTGAAAGCTTGTAGAGACGTATCATTCCTTCGTAAATTGCCTTGTGAAGTGCAGTCTCCCAAAGTAGGGAATGTTTAGGAATGTCTCTTAGATTCCAGATCAAATTAATATCATTCCTGGTCGCGGTTCACTTAGCATCAATATGTTTACAGTAATTCTTATTTTTTTTTTATTCCTCCTCCTCTCTTTTTGTTGACCCCTCTCTCTCTCTCTCTCTCTCTCTCTCTCTCTCTCTCTCTCTCTCTCTCTCTCTCTCTCTCCTTAGCCTAGAGCATGTGGGTTTTTTTTTCTTTCTGTGTGTTTCAGTGGAGCACTTAAGCTCCCCCTCTGTGTACAGCCTGTAATGACGGCTGCCAGCTGTGGCTCAATGGCCATCACACACACACACACACACACACACACTCACACTCACTCACCACAGTGTGCCGTTCCTCGACTTGTAGGTAAAAGCAGATATAAACGGCATATGATGTAATCAGACACATATGTGATCAACCTGTGTGTGTGTGTGTGTGTGTGTGTGTGTGTGTGTGTGTGCGTGTGCGTGTGTGTGTGCGTGTGTGGGGGGGGGGTTATTTGTACTAGTGCTGAATTATTTTATCATTGTAAATTGAATATATTTCTGTTTTCGACATTTAGAAGACACCTTGGGCTCTGGGAGACTATAATTTGCATTTTTTTCATTACTCTTACACACAACAATAAATCAATTAATTGAAAAAATAAACAACAGAATAAACATTAATGAAAACTGTTAGCTGCAGCTCTCTTTGACCAATCTAGCATAAAATGAAATTTTTAATGAATCAGTGGAAAAACCCAAGGCACTCTGTTTCTTAGGTTCCTTGGAAAAGTACCCAGTTGTCCTGTTATTTCTGTTACTGCTACAGTGATTAGTTAATTAATCAATTAGTCGATTGATTCAGTAGAATGTAATCAACGATGATGCTGGTCACTGTAAATTGATTATCTTTGGGTGGACAAAACAATCATTTTGGAGAAGCTTTGTGAAAGACTTTTTGTTTATGTTTACAGTTTTCTGACATTTTATACACTTTATACATTCATAAATCTACCAGAGAATCAACAGATTAACAAGAATGAAAATGAAAGCTGTAATTGCAGCCCTCGCTGTAGTGCTTAAATTATTAGTTGTTACTCAACCAACATTTGATTATTGATTAATTGTTTTAATTATTGATCAAGCAAAAACATATTTTCTGGTTAGTGTGTGTGACGATTTTGCTGCTTTTTCTACTAACTTTTATACTAATACCTGTCTTTCATTATATAGACTGAAAAATAATTTAATAACATCCAAAAATAGCTGGATTCTTCAGATTATTGATCTTTGTGTCTGTGTGTATGTACAGAATCCTGGCCACGGTGGGTTCGGACTTTGACCTGCGAACACTGCGAGCTGTGAGAGTGCTGAGACCCCTGAAACTCGTGTCAGGAATCCCCAGTAAGTAACATCTGAAGATTTTATGATTTCATTGGAGAGATTATTGTATAGAGAAAGAGGTTTGTAGAAACTCCAGGAACTTTATTGTCCAATTTGCGCCTCAGCTGGGATTTTAGTGTAGGGATTACAGGGCAGCACTCATCCATGATATTTTTCCACCTCTGTTTTTGTGCTTTGATATAGTTGTTGTCCTACGCAGTAGGTGTTACTTTAATTCACTTTGTAAAACTGTTTTAAAAAATATCATACAGCTATATGGGCTAATATCACAGTAAACAGTTCAATACGTAAATGACTCATTGATTATTTTATGAAGTTTTCATTTTGTCTTTTAAATTGGAAAGTTTTCAATAAATGATTGAAATGAGGAGCAGACTTTTATTGAAGCTTGGGTGAGCTACAGTAAAAGGTTGAATTCAATAGTTAAAGGATAATTCCTGTTTATTATAGCTTGGATAGTTGGTTATAATTAAATAAACATTGCTCATCAGTTTAATTACTGAGATCTTGGAGCCTTTAACATTGCTAAAATGAAGTTAGACGGTGAGAGAAACACAAGAAGTCAGAGAGTAGGGGCGCCCGGTTAGCTCAGTGGGTAGAGCTGGTGACCCAAGGCTGAGTCCTTGCTGCAGCAGGCCAGAGTTTAAATCTGACCTGCGGCCCTTTGCTGCATGTCATCCCCTCTCTCTACCCCCTTTCCTGTCTATCTTCAGCTGTAACTATCAAATAAAGGCAATAAAAGGCCAAAAAAATAACTTAAAAAAAAGAAGTGAGAGAGTAAATATCCATTGCAGTTTACAGACCAAATTGGACTTAATTGCAGTGATGTAGCTGTGTCTCAACAATTGCTTTGGTAAGTGCAATGTTATCACAACTGGTAGAACTGATGGCCAAAACATTAAAAATAAGACCCAAGTTGCAATAAACCTTGATTATCCTTTGAAGCGGCATTTTCAAGAAATAGACCAAGCCCTGCTCACACTCTCTCCCCTCCCTTCTCCCGCATCTTTCTCTGTCTCTCAGGTCTCCAGGTGGTGTTGAAGTCCATAATGAAAGCCATGGTTCCTCTGCTTCAGATCGGCCTGCTGCTCTTCTTCGCCATCGTCATGTTTGCCATCATCGGGGTGGAGTTTTACATGGGCAAATTCCACACCACCTGCTTCAGGATAGACACTGGTGAGAGCAACAGATTGGCTGCAGTGTGTGTGTGTGTGTGTGTGTGTGTGTGTGTGTGTGTGTGTGTGTGTGTGTGTGTGTGTGAGCGACACTAACTATCAGCTGAGTTGACGCCAGGAAAAACTTTTTTTCCCTTTCAGCTGTGTTCCTGTATTTGTTACGGATGATAACATATATTGCATTGCATATGTATGCAGGCATCCATAAATGATTCATAAGTTGTAAATGTACATGTGGCAGCGCTGGCAGGCAGTGCGCCTCTATCAACATAACAAACAAGAGCGCAGCAGAATCTTTGACAACCATTTTTCACGTCTTGATTTTGATGAATGGTATTTTCACAGTCTTCAGGTCTTGATTGATAGTTTCCGCTGTAACTCAATAGGGATGCTTATGTACTCAGCCTCCTGATCGAATGCTACCTCAGACGATGTTAATGAGGTTGCAATTCACTAGTTCTATCTTTCTCCTACATCTGAGGGGTGTGCTAGTGGTGATATTGCAGCAGTGTAATACCTGACAGAGAGAGTGGGAGTCGAGCAGCTTCTCTATAACTGTGTTTGCATGTTTTATCTCTTTAAATATAAATATTTACATTACTGCTTACCATTTTCAATTATAGATGCTTTGAAGTTTCAGACTTTTTCAGGCAGCCACAAAAATCTAATTTTGAAGCTTAACTCTTGAAAGTTCCTATAAATGATCGATCACACTGAACATCAAGTTGGTGTTATTTTCTGATGAGATGGTAAGGCAGTTTAATTGCAGATTTATTTGAAAAGTCTGTACTTGATTACCTTGCAATTTCCAAGAAAGCTTCCTGAAAAAGCCTCTGTAATTTGGTACTAATTATAGGTCAAATAAAGTGTTCATTTTGTACAATTCCACTTGTTACAAGTAAATGCCCTTCAGTTAGCTGAACAGCAGTTCAAATGAACAGTTGTAAATTAAGGGGAAGCATACAACTATACAAACATAGAGGCTAATGAGAACGAGAATAATTTCTGTTTTTATTATGCCGCAGTTCATTCAAGTAAATTCCTCTGAAAATCAAACTTCAAAACTTCAACCAGCTATGTAATTATAGAAACTCTCCATATTTGTTAGAGTGTATGCTTGGATGTAATTTATAACCACAGAGAAAGATAGATTTTACATATTTACAGGTGACCTAAAACTGTTCAAGTTGACTGGAAATAGTTGAAAATGTGGCACCACATCTTAATTTCCCTACATAGTGCTTTCCACCATAGAAACCATGACAGTGTAAAAAGTACTAGTAGGTGTACTCAAAATGTCAAACAGTTTTTTTTTTCACAAATAAATGCTTAATGATCACACCACTTTCTAAGTTTGAGAATGCACAAACGGCAACCTTAAATGCAAGTCCATCACACTTGAAACATGTAGCACAACTCTTCTACAGTACACTATGCTCTATTCACCACAATTACACTATCCTGCTTTCATGCTATGAAGGCTGAAAGCTGAAAATATTTAAGAAATGAAGCACAGTCCACTGGAGAAGAGTTGCGTGTTGTGTTTTAAGTCTGAAAAAATCCAAAACACAATTTGTAAAATGGTTAGCGTTACTGTAAAATATTCTCTGCAGGAGCACGAATCACCAAAATCACTGGCTTGGTCTTTTTAATATGTGAAAATAACAAGGAGGGAGAGAGAGACTGTGTCCTTCCCTGTGTTTGCATTAGCATGGCAGCAAAAACCATTGCTGATAAATCACAGCCAGGTTACTATTAAAGTGTAATTATTATACTACAGCATTATAGTAATTATAGAAAACAGTCAGACGGAAATTACCCATTGTGTAATGCAGTGATAAAAATTATGAGAAAGCTTTATTTCCCCACTGCTGGTGTCAACTAGAGTGTGAAGGCGTAACTTGAGGGTTTATTGGCTGGGCCAGCTGTAAAATACGTGTATCTGTTTCTCAGTGTATGTGTGTGTGTGTGTGTTTGTGTGTGTGTGTGTGTGTGTGTTTCAACCCAGTCAGTGTGCTCGTAGTGGTGTGAGCAGTTGTGACAGCCTGCTAATGTACAGTACGTGTGTTATTGAGTTATTTTAGCCACAGAGTCACAGCAGGGTTTGATTAAGCTGAGCAGCACCGGTAACAACTTTCTACATGAAGGTTGCTTCTTTGTGTGTGTGTGTGTGTGTGTGTGTGTGTGTGTGTGTGTGTGTGTGTGTGTGTGTGTGTGTGTCATAAGCTGGTAATGTTGGATGAAGCCATAAAGCCCTTGTGTGCCATGTGTCTGAGTGTGTTTGCATGTTTGTGTTTTTTCAAGTGCGTATTCATCGGGCTTACCTTCACTTGAGCACAAGCTTATTGAAGACCTTGGCTTCTGTCCTTTGCATGGTGGAAAATTGTTTCTTCTTCTCTTTAATTCTCTCTACTGAGATGTTGCATTTAGATAAATAATAATGAGCCATTAATCCAGTTTTGTTTGGGACAAATACATGGACGGATTGAAATGGATAATTTCCCTTGTGACATTAATTAGATTATAAACAAACTCCATAAAGTCCAAAATGATTTAAGATCTTATGTAGTCTGCTGCAAATGTATATTAAGCATTGAAACAGTTTTCAACTTACCAATATCCCATTTACACTTGCACTACTCATTGCATTGAAATTCTGTACTGATACTCACTGTGGTTCACTAAAATATTTACAAGTATTCCTATAAATTTGTTCACATGCACATGAAATTTAATGGCCATCAACAACATGACACTGAAAAGCACACAGCACTATAAAATATGTACTTTATTAAACATATTCTTTATTAATTTACTCTTTTTTCATTATGTAGTGTTTTGTTTCTTGTTTTTCATCAGATAATTTAAACCAGTTTTAACATAAATAAAAGTAAGCAGGCATAAGACAAAGTTTTAAAAAGCAACATCAGTGTCCAATCACTGGGAATAGCATTTTAAAAATTTTCACCTTGATTTTTTTATTTTCACACCTTTTAAATCTAAATAAACACAAATAACATACATTTGTATTTAAAAAAAAAAAAAAAAAACCTCTACTTTTCAACGAGGAACTGCGCCCACCAGGAGAAAATAGAGACCGGAGACGTTCCCTTATCATCCGTGGATGCTGAGTCCGGCTGACACAGCACCTGTCAGTAGGAAGGAAAGGACATATTTCACTGGAGTGACACCTGAGGGATGTTGGCTGTGCAATCTGGCTCTGCAAATCATCGTTAAAACTTGGCACAACTTGTGATCGTGGCGTTATCCCTCATGAAACGCTGGGTGCACAAGGCATCTGTTATACTCAGCACATTTATTCTTTATTCTGATCCCCATCTGCTGACATGTGTGCCAGCACATCCTTTAAACAAACTCTCAGCATCCTCCATGTACTCTGGTACTATCTCTGTAACTCACTGTCACTTAATAATCGCTGAAACCCCAAGCTTTGCTTACTTTGACCACATCCACAACAAGCTGACTAAACCTGAAAACACATCTTTTTCAAATTCACAACAGAGCACAATACTAATCAAAGTTTGCGTTACGGGGTTTCAAGACAAATATGTAAAGACTGACTTCAGACTTAAAACACAACTGTATGTATGTATACCTGAAAATGCACATCCTCAACAATGCTGTGTGTGTGGGTAACATCAGGACTAGATTCGTCACACTGAGGTGTGCATGTAAAGACCAATAAGCAACACTGAAATCATGGTCTGACTCAGGACTCTTCAGCCGGTGTTGTCTGCAGCGTGCTGGCAGCTGTAGCTGCAGCTGTGGTGCACCAGTTGATTCCTCAAGTATAATAAACTGGTTTGAATGAAAGATGTAAGATAAACTGTGATTACAATGGAGATCTCAGTTTTCAGGGGGATAGTAGCAAACACACAATGACACAAAAATGATTTAGAGCTGTGTGTGACTTGTTGGGGATCAACATTAACTCGTCCCTCTCTGGATGGAGAATATCTTTCTTGCTGGTTTTTCATTACAGGAACTGTGACCCAAACCTTTCCATATAGAACCTAGAGTATCTACTGGATGGTAGTGTGGTGTGTCCCTGGGTGTTTCCCCTTTGGAAATGTTCCCATCATGACTGATGACTAATTGTTAGGAGATCATGGGACACATTAGAGCAACGTGAGGTAGCTGGAGAAAGTTGGTGAAGGGGGGTTGCTCTGCTGTTTTGCTGTAGCCATTCTGGGTGCTTGAATCATTCACTTCAAGATATATCTATCCATCCATCCAGTAAATACTCTACAATCAGTTCAAATAAAATCCACCAAATTTACATGTTCACCTGAAAACATAGAAATACATACAGAAAACTCATTCCCTTCCTCTCTTTATTTGTCTTTCGTCAGGTGAGAGAGCAGCAGACTGGCCTTGTGGTCTGGAGCCCCCAGCAAGGACTTGTCCCAATGGGACCGAGTGCAGGGAGTACTGGACTGGACCCAACTTTGGTATCACCAACTTTGACAACATCCTGTTTGCGGTGCTTACTGTGTTCCAGTGTATCACCATGGAGGGTTGGGTGGACATCCTCTACAGCGTGAGTCCCTATGCACTAAAGACCTGTTGCTGTTTGTAGTATAAGCTTGATTTCTTGCTGGCATTTCCTTCATCCACATTTTAAATCTTACCATCTTTGCTTCTAATGGCCAGAGTACCATAAAATGATTGAACCTGTACGTTCCTCAGAGGACGAACCTTTTTTCTACTGCCATCCTCAAAATGTGAAGGCATCTTCTTATCTAATGGGAAGAGTGCCATTAATTTAAACCATGTTGATTTTAATGATCCAGTGGACTAAAGCAGCATCCTCAGGACACGGTTTAGCCAAACCACTGGAGGTTAAGGTTAGACTAACAGAGTAATGTTGTTTTTGCCACCAATCACTTCAATATTTTGGGTTGTAATGGATTTCAGCCTCTAGGAACCACAGGTAAGAGTAAAATCTTATAAAGCTATGAATAATTCATTCAGAGAAGGATTTTGTTGAGCATACACACTTTTTCCACCACTCATGTGCTTAACATTCATATAGAGGCACACATTCACACCTGGGAGCTGCCAACCACAAATCTGTTACCATTGAGCGGCTCCCCTGGAGCATTTGAAGGATTGGTTTGTTGCTGAAGGGCACCTTGAAGGTACTTGGTTATGAGATAGAGAGTGTTATTCATTCATTTTATCCTCTCAGATTTTCCATAGATTTAAACATTACACCCTCCACGCTTAAACCTGCGAACGTTAGACTATCTCATCTTTGATATCTAGCCTTTCTGTGTGTGCGGCTTTGGGGGTGTGGATGTGTGGAAGCCAGCGTGCTGAAGCAGAGATGGTGAACAGGTAAACAAAGGCTCACTTCAGGGTGTCAATGTGCCAGTTTGGGTTCTGCATGGATGGTAGGATAGCTTATTTATTTGTTTATTTTGAACAAAAAGAATGGGATGTCAGTGTGTCAGACACTGTACAAACAAAAGAAGGCAATACCAAAAGCCATACCATCATACCATGAGCATGAAATATATAACATATATAAAATATACATGTTCAAACAACAAATAGTTGTTTTTTTGTTGATACAGAAAACTGTAAACAAGGAACCAAAACCAGGACACGGTAGCAATTATGCATAAGAGAGAGAAAATAAGAAGATTTTCTGTTTTGATTTAATATCTCAATTGTGTTTGCCTCTCTGTTGTAAAATATTCAGCAGCAGTGTAGCATGGTAAGGAAAGGAATGGAAAAATGCATGCACAAATCTGGGTGTCATCTGCATAAAAATGGAAATTTACATTCAGTTCCCGAAGGAATTTGCCAATTGGGAGCAAGTATAGTAAGAAAAAAAAGGGAAAAAGAAACATGTATGTATGGCGGGACACAAAGTGGAGATGTTACGCCAATGAGGCTTGTATCCCAGACAACTGGGTCACTGGGACAATCCCCACCGGCTGTACAAGTTTTTTGTACTTTTTTTCTCTCTGTCACCAACCCAAACAGTTTTGTTATCTAAATGCCAGCACCTCTGTGGTTTTTCAGGGTAGCCAAAAGCATGATAGTGTCTTTTAAAAACACACAATCCTAGAGCACAAAGAGAAAAACAAGAATCCCTAAAGGATGAGGGATGTCCAGCCAAGCAGAACTAAGAAATGTGTCTGGGCCAATCCCACAATGGCTGTCTGACTCAGAGCTTCATCTGTTTTATTTTGTTTTTACCAAATGATCTATGCAAAATTAAGCCTTGTGTATTGGACTCACAGCATCTGCTAAATGACGAGATACAACACAAGCTCCCATTTAAAGACAAAAACAAAGGATATCCAGTGTTTACATGGCCAACAGCGGCTTACTGAAAACATTTTTACTTCGGACATTTTGCATGTACTAGTGAGGTGTAGGGCTATCCTTGACTAAAGATTTAAGACTATAATCAGTTGCCCTACGATGATCCACTCTGCTCTGGTTCTGTCGCTCATTACAACCCTGATAATTTGGCAGTATTGCCCATTGGATCCCCCACTCCTACAATACTCTACTCCTACTACCCCTTCCATCGAGCTCCCAGTCCTCATACAGATAGTTAGTAGGGCAGCTAACTAGCTAGTGGCAGCAGCTAGTACAGTTGACATATGCAACAGTGCACTGTTAAGTGACTCCCTGTGTTACAAGAGAAAAAGTCTGTGTTGCAACAGTCCCATGATACTTACTATATATACATGTAAAAATGTTGTGTGGCTGTATGGATAGAAGAGTGTGTGAGACGGATGACTTTAAAACACAGCTGAAATGCTTTCTGTGCAGAGATGACGTTATTCATAAGGAAAGATGGACTGTTGATCCGTGGTACAAACCTAAACTGCAAACATATTGTCTTATCAAAAATGACATAACCTTATGTGAAGATGAATTTCATGTAAATTTGAAGTCAAAGATCTCTGTGGAAGGTCATGTTCAGGTACCTTACCATCAGCTTGGTAATGTGCCTGATAACTAAGGCAGGGTTAGTGACTTTGTCTGTTTTGTGATGTAGATTTTCAGCGTTACTTTTAATGTCTTTCTAAGGTATTTCTTCTGTTAATGCTAAAAAAAATTAAGTTAAACGTAAGATGGAAGCAGATGAGATAGGGCACTTTGATATTCCACTGGATGCTTTAAATGCATGTTTAGTTATTAAAAAGTCGAAGTTAATGCGGCCATGGTGTATTTCTGTCATATTTCTGAAATATAATCAAATATTCTTGAGCCATTACATTTTACTGGGAAATTATTTATTTGTTGCAGTCTTTGCACTTGTACTTCTTATATATCTCTTCCTATGTTATCTTCTTTTATTCCCTAAACACTTCTCCTTCTCCTTTTCCTGCCTCATTCCTTTCCCCCCTGCTTCTCCTTTCCCAAGAGATAACAGCTAACCGGCACTACACTGTGAGCCACTTAGAGAGCCATCTTTCCTCCTCCTCCTCCTCCTCATCCTCCTCCTCCTTCTTCTTCTTCTTCTTCTTCTTCTTCTTCTTGCTCTTCCTCCTTGTTTCACTCCAAACATCTCCTGTAGCTTTTTCTGGCTCATTATCCTAAGCGCTGCAGACACTGCTGTGATCCAAGAATGCCTTTTCTCTCAGTCGGTAGTTTTTCTTTATATTTCAATCTTTTTCTTTTCCTTCTGCTCAGAGTCATTCCTTTTGATCCACCAGATATTTTTACTGCAGCCTGTCTGTGTGGCTTTAAAAAAAATATTTTAACAATATTTCTTCCTTGCCCCCCTATTCAACCAGTTCTTCTCTCTCTCTCTCTCTCTCTCTCTCTCTCTCTCTCTCTCTCTCTCTCTCTCTACTGCTGAATTTCACCATTCAGTCTTATCTATGTTCCTTCTTTTTTAAGGTGGGAGAGATTTTATATGGCCTTGTAGAGACCATTCACACATCCCGTTGAGGCAGACGAGGCTCATTTGGGGACTGTTTTGATTGGTCTGGTTGCTGCTCTTAAGATTTTACTTCACCACACTCAGACAGCTCATCGAAGAGTGTTTTCACAGTCCACAAGGAGCTTCACTGAAGTGTAACACCCTGCTGACACATGCCTGACACCTATACATCCATCTGTCTGTTTGAGCCTTTGGTGACTCACTCACTGTGCCAGTGGAACATCCGCCTATGGGCTTATGGGTGTAGAAAGTGCCAGTTATCCATTATAAGAACTATGGCCATGTTTGTGACTGGCTGACAAGTGTGTAGGCATGCTTTAACAGGACACCTCAAAAAACTGTTTAACCACTGATCTCAATCCCTGTGCAAGGTATATCTAACAGGCAACTGAAGCAACAGTATTTTCTACAGTTGCTACTTGCTAAGATTCTAGGGATGTCACACGAACCAATACTTTGGTACCAAGTCGATGCCAAAGTCTAATTATAGATATCACTTTTTTTATTTTCTTAATCTATTCCCATCTCTATTTGGCTATGTAGTGTTTCCTTAATTCATCCAAATGCTGTGATATCATGTTGTTTGTCCAACATGCCCATTCTAACAGTTTTGGTTGTTAAAAAACAGTTGTCATTACAGATCGGTTGTACATGGTGGTTACATTTTGTTGATGCGTTTTGATTAACATCATTGTTAGCAGCTCCAAAAGGTACCTGTAATTCACCATCAGAACAGGCCCGAAATGTTCCACAAAGATTTCCCAGAAGAATGTGGCGAACAAAGGAAATAAAAGGCGAAACCATGACAACGCTATGTAGTGGACAAGAGCCATAAGTGTATTTGTGTGAATGCAGTGGAGCATGCATGTATGTCATATATGCATTAATATCTTGAGTCTACGAATGTAGATGCACCCTTGGTAAAGAAGCAGGGGGGAGGGGGAAGCATGAAGCCAGAATAGCATTCAGACGGGGGCTCTATTCTGTGGATTATATACTTTCCTGTTACCCAGCGTTAACCTTGCAGATTGATGACTATGCTACTTCTGCCCCGAGGGGGATCGCTCAGACCTTCCTCTCTAATGGTGCAAAGGAAAATGCAGAGTACCCCTCCCCAACCTCCCTGTCATTACCATCCTGCCCCCTCTTCTTCTTCTCTCCTCATTACTTCCTTTCTGCCGTCCATCCCCCCACTTCCTTCGTAACTTCACCTCCCCCAGCGAGGCCATGTCCCAGGATCCTGTGGTCTCCCAGCAGCTGATTTAGTGGAACGCAGCGCTCCTTTCTGCCATGCTATTCTTCAGCTGGAGGGAGTGGTGACAATGTAGACAGCTGATGGTGCGAGCATGTTCTTACAGGTACCAGTGAGAAGATGAAAAACCCACCAGTGCATTGGTACATTGTTAGTTGTTTTGCAGAGGGTTATCTAAAAAATGCCATTTTTGCCTCAGTGCAACATCATCAGGCAGTTTTTCAAATCTACATAGTACATTACCACAGTTAATTTCAGAGTTGTAAAATCTCATTATTAGTATATTATAGTATTAACTATATCTATTAGTCTAACTGGCCTTCCTGTTTCCTCTCACTGGAACCTGTAACAACGTGCCCACACCAACTCTGCC